TATATGTCTATCATACCCATTTGTTCACAGGTGTGATTCAGTTCTGTTATTTCTTTGCTCATTTTCTGTCTGGTTGATCTGTCCCTTGGTGTCAGTGGTGTATTAAGGTCTCCTGTTACAATTGTGTTACTGACAATTTGAGTTTTCATTTCTGTTAATAATTGTTTTATATAACTGGGTGCTCTGGAGTTTGGTGCGTATATATTTAAGATAGTTATCTCTTCCTCTTGGAGTTTTCCCCTTACGAGTATGTAGTGACCTTCTTTGTCCTTTATGGTCATTGTTGGTTTAAAGTTCATGTTGTCTGCAAACAGAATGGCTACTCCTGCCTTTTTTTGGATTCCTGCTGCATGAAGAATTGTTTACCATCCTTTGACTTTCAGTCTGTGAGTATCTTTCTGGGTTAGATGGGTTTCCTGTAAACAGCATATGGTTGGATTTTGTTTCTTGATCCATTCTGCTAGTCTGTTTCTTTTGATTGGTGCATTGAGACCATTTACATTAATGGTTATTACTGTTAAATGCTGGTTAATTGTAGGAATGTTATCTCTCTGCTGTTGCATCTTTATCTTTTGGTTCTGTTTAATTATTTGCTTTGCTTAGTGGTTTTTTCCTTTGTGTATCTAAACTGTCTTTCAATATTTTTTGCAGGGTTGGTTTGGTGTTCATGAAGTTCTTCAGCTGTTCTTTGTCATGGAAGTATCGTATTGCACCATCTATTTTGAATGATAGTTTTGCAGGATATATCAGTCTTGGTTGGAAATCATTTTGCTTTAGGATCTGGAATACTTCACTCCATGCTCTTCTTGACTTTATCGTTTGTGCTGAGAAGTCTGCTGTGATTCTGATAGGTTTTCCTTTATAAGTGATCTGTCTTTTCTCTCTGACAGCTTTTAATAATCTATTCTTGTGTTGGATTTCTGGGATGGTGATTATTATATGTCTGGGTGTAGTTTTATTTTGGTTATGACTGTTTGGAGTTCTATATGTTTCACTGATCCTGATGTCAGTTTCTGATCTCATGCTTGGGAAATTTTCAGTTATTACTTCTCTAAATATCCTCCTGACATCCTTCATGTTGTCTCCCTCTCTTTCATTAATCCCTATCATTCTTATGTTATTCTTCTTTGCATCGTCTTGCAGTTGTTGAATTGTTGTTTCCTGGTTCCTTGTTATTTTCAAAAGATCTTTCCTTTCCTGTTCACTAGCTGCAATCCTGTCTTCAAGGTCTGAAATTCTATCTTCACTTTCATTAAGGCGGTTTTTACAACTTTCAGTGGAGTTTTTTATTTCCTGTATATCTCTGTGCATCTGCATTATGTATTCTGTTTGTTTCTTATATTGCTCGTCTAGGGATTCTATCTTTTTGTTTAGTTCCTCCAATTTTTTATCTGTGTTTTCTTTAGATATATTTAGAATCTCTTTCATTTCTTTTATCATTTCTTCTTTTATCTGGGAGATTATTTCGAGTTTGAATTTCTTTAAAGCTTCCTGGAGTTGCTTGTCAATTTCAGTGTCTATTGTGTCCGATATATGAGGTGGATGGGATATATTTTCTTCTATATACATCGCTCCTAGGGTTTCTTGAGATGGGCTGGAGGTTTGAGGTTGTAATTTGGTCTTTCGTTTTGTCATTTTCCTATATTTCTGTGTTTCAAGTGTTATTTGAAAGCTTCCTCAGGATCTGTTGAAAATCCCCTTCTATGTTTGGAGCTACTGAGACTCTGGCACCGCACTACCCCAAGCCATTAGGCCTACAGAACCAGTGGCCCTCCTCTGCCTGCTCAGAACTCCGCAGTTCCAGACAAGCTGGGCCTCAGGGACACTGTGCGCCCACCTGCCCCTTGGAAGCTCCACAGTTCTTCAATCGCACCCGGGTTAGGGTACTCACCACAGGCCACAGTGCTTCAGGAACCTGTGGACCCTCCCTGGTTGCAGAGATATCCACTGTCCTCCAGACACATGGAGAGGCCGATGCAGGCACCCCAAATCTGCCCAGCTCCTCCTCTGCAGACCAATGGCCAGGCGCGGCAGCTAAACAGGCTGGGCTAGGCTGGTAGTGTGGGCCAGCCCACCTATGGGGAGCTCAGCAGGTCTCCAAGTGAAGCCGGGAATGGGGAGGCTGATATGGAAGCCTCAAACCCACCTCTCTCCTTCACTGCACCTGGAAGCCTGAGGGAACTCCAGCAGTCTGGGCACAGATATCCAGAGTCCTCCAGACACGCAGAGAGGCCAGTGAGGGCACCCCAGATCTGCCCAGCTCCTCCTCTGCAGACCTATGGCCAGGCGCGGCAGCTAAACAGGCTGGGCTAGGCTGGTAGTGTGGGCCAGCCCACCTATCGGGAGCTCAGCAGGTCTCCAAATGAAGCCGGGAATGGGGAGGCTGATGTGGAAGCCTCAAACCCACCTCTCTCCTTCACTGCACCTGGAAGCCTGAGGGAACTCCAGCAGTCTGGGCGCAGATATCCAGAGTCCTCCAGACACGCAGAGAGGCCGGTGAGGGCACCCCAGATCTGCCCAGCTCCTCCTCTGCAGGGCTTTCTATGCTTTCTTTCTTTCTTTTACATGTTTCCTGGAATATACCAACAGAGAGGGAATTTCCAAACTTGCCATTTTATGTCTGATATTTACCACCTAACTAATATTTTTTCTTCTCTTTTCCTTCATAAACATTTATACATCCTTCAAAAATTTTTGTTAAATGAATCCTACTTAACTCTTCTGCTTGAAAAATTTCCAAAAGAATTTCTTTTACATTTGTGTAAACCTAAGTATAAACCTAAGCTATATTACAGACAAGACTTTTACAGCAGAATGGTTTTTATACTGTGTCCACTCTGATTTACTTGTACCATGATGTTTTAGCCTCTTCCAAAAAGAGAAGAGTTTGATGGAATAAAATAATCTTACCTTTATTGTTTTCTCAAGGGTATCACCTTCCTCCTGTGATTCCAAAAGCACAGAAGAAAGGCCTTATGTTTTCTTTCATTGGAAACTTCATTTTTCTGTGATGCTTATTTAAAAGCAAAGTTTTGACTTTACAATAAACAAAGGGAAGAGTTTATAATAAATATATTGTAATATTTTAACATGTAGTTAATTTTTGTTCTTTTCATTTGCATCAGAAATATAAACAAAGTTGATTACTATGGTAACTAATGGTGCATTTATTTATATTTCTGAGATAAATAACTTATTGAGAAAATATTCTTTGACCATTTTTGGTAAGCTTTACATCTACAATGTCTACATTTTTTAACTTAATATTTAATAGAAATGTTCTTAAATTATTAAACAACTGACATTGATTTAGGGTAAACCTCATATATATTTATAGTCATATACATATGTATAACAAGATACTTAACATATATATCACATATATAATAACATATGTTATATATAATATATAACAAGATAGTTATATATACATACATATATATGTATAAAACACAAGAGAGTTAAGGTAGTTACACTGCTAGTTTCTCTTAGTTAATTGAAAAGAAATGTTTGGGATAGTATTGTCTGGACAATAACTCATGTCTCTGTTTTGTACCCCGAGTAACTACTCTGAAGATAACAATATGCAGTGTATTAATTTTTGTTATTGTCCTGTTATCTTATTTTGAAATTGATTTACTTTTCCCTTCTTTTTTTAAAAAAAAATAGTATGTATGAGATGTGTCAACATTAAATGATTATGCAATACATGATTTGAAAAGTTAAAAAAAGTAGAATCACTTGGGAGATTAAATACAACAAATTTTAGACATCTGTGCTTTTAATTTACACAATAAAAGTATACATGGCTCAAGACGTATCTGAGAAAATCAAAAACAATGATTACTTTCCTCCTTTCTTGACAAAATAATGCACACCAACAAATTAAAGGAAGAAAAGTTTATTTTAGCCCATATTTTTAGAGGTTTCTGTGCATAGTCCTCTGGCAGCAAGGCAGAGAGGTTTTTCAGAGGAGAAACAGTCCACAGCAAGGTAAGCAGGGAGCAGAAGCAGCCTCCACTTCCCTTTATATTCTACCCAGGCTCTAAGTCTTTTGGTTGGTGCCCCCCACACTCAGAGTGGGGCTTCCCACTATGTCACCCAGAAGAGTGCTAAACTGATGGGTTTAGCGATCACACACCCTTCGTCTATATTCGCATGCTCTATAAAACTCCATTATGCACCCTTGAGGCTTTTGGGGGAAGAGCTAGATACAACTCATAACAGGAGACTAGAGTATTATCTCCCCAAATTGCATATCATGTTTCCTATGATTAGTTTTCATGTTTCTTTCTCATGTGAATTTAGAATAGCTGAACTGCAAATTCTCATTTCATGTATTACAAATACAGCAATATTGAAAAGCAAATCAATCCTCTTTCTGTCCCATATTTTAGACAAGAAATTGACTAGTTCACTTGGGTTTGATTAATGATGTTAAAGAATACAGAGGACCATTAAATAAATAATGGTATACTAATTTAAGTGGTTAATTTGAGGTAGCCTAGCCACTCAAATGGTTGGCAGATCCTAGACACTTGACTTCTGATAGATAATGATGTTAATGTCTTATTTGCAATAAATTTAGAATCTTAAAAAGTAATTTCAGCACTTTCTTAATTGCTTTTTTCTCTGAAAGTGAAAATTTCCACCTTTTGTTAGAAACTCTGCTAACTGGGGAAATCAAGACAAATGATGAGGTTTAAATGTGGTCATAGTAATCTCTTCATTTATTCTAATAACTGCTGGTCATTTTTAAGGGCAAAAAAGGAAACAAAACTAAACAAAACTACACAAAAGAGTAAACAGGGCTTGGAGCAAAATTATGACAGACTCCTAAAAGCTCTCCGAAGTAAGACTTTTCTTTTATCTTATGCTTTCATTTTGTATTTTACTCAATATTGACAGCAGTCTTTAATGACGAACTAATTATATCAATGAGAAAAAAGTTATAGGTTTTAGTGCATGGATTTTCTGAAATAATAACTTCTGTTGTCTAGAACCCAAATCCTTTACAGATGGATTTAGTTGCCATTCTTTGCTCAACTTATCACAAAATACTCCTACTATGAAAGGGAGTAGTATATAATGGGAAGACCGATGTTCTTGGCAATGACGGTGGCTGAAGTGCAAAGGAGATTAGGTTTGACTGTATACAATGAATATATTGAGTTAGTAAAGAAGCTGGACTCTAGTGATGGAAGCAGAGATTTACTCTCCCACCATTTCTGCAAAGCTGCCCTCTTGTGCATCTCGTCATCTCCTCAGGTATGTCTTGCAAGTCTTGTTTTTTTATAAACATTATCAGGTGCTAAATTGATCATGAGACTGCAGTGCCCCCTTTCTTAAAATACAGCGGGCATACGCAACAGTGTACCAGATTGGCTCATTTTGGCTCCAGATCAGTTTGCTATATATCTCGCAGTTATTTGATTCAGTTATTAAATTGTTGGCATGTTTATATATCCACGGTAAGTGTATTCTTAGCAGTGATATCTGCATGTGTGCTGGGCTGGAGCAAGGCCAGCCTCAAGAACACAAAGAATCTGAGGCAAGTCACGTGCTCTAGTCTCAAGAACACTGGGCACCAGAAGTAAGCCATGAGGATAAACTATTAGACAGTGAGGTTTCATGTGATACTCAGCCTCTCAGTGTATAAGTAAACATGCTGCAGCCCCTGGATCCATTGCTCCTTCTCCTCCTCCTCCTCCCTCTTCTTATTTCCCAGGAGAGAGGGCTCCACATGGCATCAGTTTTCTGACTCTTTTTTTTTTCCTCCATCCTTTCACCAGCTTCACCCTGAGAATACTGAGAGCTACACATACATGGCATTTGGTGCCTGGATGGGAACCCATGGAACAATGAAACACAGTGGATAGCAGGTAAGAGGAGTGTTGTGGTCAGGGGTTGTACACAGAGAACAACTAGGATTAGGACATGGAGTTCATAATATTTTTATAATGGTCACTGGAAGTTAACACAAGAAAATGCAGGAAATCTATCCACAACACCAAAGACATAGATTATTTAGTCAAGAGCCTAAACCCCACGGCAATGTCCCACATGAGTCCAGATAAAAACCCAGAGCTCAGGACAGTGCCTCCCATGAGTCCAACTGGAGGTCCAGAGCCCACAAGAAGGACTCATGCCAGTCTCTTTTACAGATCTGTGCCGGGAAGACCCAAGGGCCAGCGGTGGAAGCCAGAAAGTCTATGCCAGCAGGATGAAGGAGCTGTGCTAGTGGGATGAGGGAGCTGGGACTGGGATGAACTGGAGCTGAGAATTCACACTCACAACAAAGAGCGGGGCTGTCCTGAAAGGCACCACAGCCGTCCTCAGCAACATGGAGGCCCTGAGCTCCTCCGACAACAAGCACAGTTGGGTACATGCCAGGAAGCAGCGTGATGAGTTCATCCTGGAGACCAGGCAGCACATGTCTTCCCCTCCGGAGCCAGGAAGCAATGCTCAACATTGCTTAACCAACAGCTCAGACAGCAACTCGTAGGAGAATCCACAATGCCTCCTTAACGTCTCAACCCTCTCAACACCTCTCTTCTTCTCCACCTATTTATCCTGGCAACCCTCCTCAGGTGGAGAATCTTCTCTCAATGCATGCTGATGTAATCCAGCTGGCATTAAGTTGACCACCAGTTTTCAAACCATAACAAGGAGACATCCAGATGTGTGCACACAGGAGAGAGACAGGCTAAGAGAAGGTATAGAGAGAAGCAAGCTTAAGAAAAGCCAAAGAGAGAGTGGTATATTGATTTTATCAGATATTAGGCAAGTAAGTTTTCAAGAACAACAAATGTATACACAAATCTTTGTTCTATTATTAATTCACATACTTATTTTTCTTTTGTGGACCTGGATCAGGGACTGTCTCAATTGTGGTGCATATGTTGAGATGAACATAGAGAATTTTAAAACCAATTCCAGAGAAAAAAAGGAATAAGAAGGTAACAGCCCCATTGTTAGAGCTGGAACCATCTGTGTTTGCTCAGTCAGAGACGCAAAGAATGATCGGGGCAAAAGAGCGTTCCTCCTTAGAGGAGTGTTTCACTACAGCCTGAGTTTCACAGCTGCCCAAGATAAAACTCCTAACATTAACTACCATGAGTGGCAGCTTCTGCCTCTTCTGCTCAGAGAAACCTTGTTACATCACAAGTTGAAACTTCTACCTCTTAAGGAGTAGAATAATTCTCTTTTTCTCCTTTGCAAATAGTATTAAAAGAAGCCACACTGGTGAGGGAGTCTAAGGACGGATGTCAACATGTCTATCCTGTTGCTGAACTCCAAGTCTCTAATAATCTAGGATAAGTCACACATCTTCATAAAGGCCCTTTAGGCCTTCAAACAAGCTGCTGCTACATAAGTGCCACGGCCTCTTTTGCCTTAGGTATAATAGAACTTATAGAACAAGTTATGACACCAAAACAATTAGAATGAAATAACTAAAGCACGTTTATGTCTGAGGATTATTTATTGTAGAAGGAAAATAGTTTTTGAATTGTGTGCAAATCAGACTATTTGCAATGCTACTCACAGTATAGCAATTAAAAAGATATGTTAACTGGAGAAGGTGCCTTTGTTGTCACAAATAATAAACTTACTTTTAAATTACAAGTATATGAACAAGCTAAAATAGCTACCATAAGGGCTTTGAGGGAACATCTTTCAAGGGCTGAGACATCTCTTAATCTGACCTCCATCTGGCAGGGTCCTGATGAACACTTGCAGGATTTTGTGGCAAACCTATGGCAGGCTAGTGAGAGGATTATCAATAATTCAGAGGTTAACAAATTAGCTGTTCAATAAGTGGCCTTTTGAAATGCAAATAAATGGTTTAAGAGATGTTACAAACCCATAAAAATGGGCCACTGTCTGAGATGATTTGGATTTCTGGACATGGAGCCCTCGTATGTACATGGGGCTGCCTTGGCAGCAGCTAGGACTCAGGCTATTCACCCACAGTCTGGAGGAAAAGAAGCAACAAAATGATTTGTTTCAGCTATGCATGTGGGGGACATTTTGCCTATAATTGCTCTGTTGCCCAGGAAAGGGCAACATAGCCATTGTGTGTCCCTTCAACAAAACCTTCTTGTATATGTATAAAAAGTAGACAAAATAAACACGGGGTAAGTGAATTTAGTTTCAAAAATGATGTGGAAGACAGAGTCATTCTGGGAAATGTCCAGCAGGGCCTATGCTGGCCCACCAAACAGTGACAGCACTTCCCCTAATTTCTCACCATCCTTACGTTCCACCTCAAGCATGTTTCTGATCTCTGTTGAGTGACAAAAGACAGTGAAGTCTTGGACCTTAGTTCCTCACCCAGATCCATACTAACATTTGAAATGGGACCCTATTCCTACTGGAGGCTATTCATATAAGAGTCCTGGGACCTCTGCCTCAGTGAACAGTGGGCCTCCTGCTAGGCCTCAGCATCTCACTTCAAAAGATTTCAAGATTTTACTTTGTGTCATTCATGCTGATTATACAGGGGAAATCAAAGTTATAGTTCAAACTATTCAAAACACTACTGAAATTCTCCAGACTCTCATATTGCTCAATTGGTCATTATTCTTTGGACAAAGAAAATTCTATAAATAAGGAGAAAGGATTTAAGGGTTTTGGATCTTCACATGCCTTTTGAGTCCAACAGATTAAATAGGATCATCGTGAGGAGGAGTTGATTATTGCAGGAAAATATTTAAAGGGTTTTTAGATACAGGTGCAGAGGTTCAGTTAGTACCCAACACCACTGGCCTGTATTATGGCCCCTGGTTATAGCAACTGCAGATTTACGTGGGAACCCAGTATTCCTCACACTACAGAAGTGCTAAATTGTTAACGTGGAGGGATGCATAAGTTCATTTTAGACATTTTCCACCTATATTCTTCTCCATGCATCAGTCAATCTATAAGGCCATGAAGAATTGCAGGTTAAGGGAGCATATTTGGTAAATCCTAACTCTTTGTTGACTCATCAGATGTTATAACAAGGTTTCCTTCCCACTCAATGGCATGTTAAAAACAATCAAGGAAAGAGAGAAGCTCTTCCAGGTATCCCTAAAAGGGACATCTTGGTATAGACTACTCACTCACATTTTCAGGAGGGACCTTGACTTCTTCTCTGACACCATGGATGTTGTGTAAGGTGCCTTGGATACCTGATGACCCTGTTTGAGTTGATCAATGGCCTCTCATTCAGGAGAAGCTTACAGCAACTCATTCACTAGTTAATAAACAGACAATGGAAAGACATCTGGAATCCTCCAATAGCCCTTGAAATACTCGAATTTTTGTGATAAAAAGTAAGTCCGGATGGTGGAGATTATTACAGAATGTGCAGTCATTAATCAAACCATGGAACTTATGGGAATACTTCAAACAGAATTGCCTAGTACTGTAGCTATTTCTCTGCACTTTTCCCTCAAGGTGTTTGATTTAAAAGACTGCTTATTTACAGTATTTCTCCATATTCAAGATAAAAAGTATTTTACCTTTAGTTTACCTACCATTATGTGCGATTACCAATGGCACTGTCTGCCATAGTAATGACAAATAGTCTGATCCTAGGTCAAGAGTTTGTGAGTGCAGCCATTTTACCAGTCCATCAAGCTCACCCATTTGCTTATTTTGTTCATTACATGGATGACATTATTCTAGCAGATAAATCCTCATCCACTATGCACCGGATAGTTCTCAAATTGAATGATGTCCTTCATATAATTCAGGCCTCATAGTCAGCCCCCAAAACATGTAAACTATGGCACCTTTTTCATATTTGGGTCACCTTATCCAACAGAGACATATTGTGCTCCAAATTGTTAAGAATCAGGTTAATCATCTTGCAGCCCTATCTGATTTTCAGCCTCTACTTGATAATATTCACTGGCTCCACCCAGCTCTTAAGCTCACAACTCATGAATTAGCTACTCTCTTTGATATCCTTAAGGGGAATCTGTTCTCCACTTCTCAACAGCATGTATTTCGGAGGCTAAAACTTCCTTTGACAACGTTAAT